CAAGAACCCCTTGTCTTTTTGCAGATCCTGACCAGATCACCAGCCACTGAGGCCAGTGGAATTTCCCTAGGTCTTATTACAGCCAAGAGAGCATTGTGCTTCTCAGATTCTCCTTGGGAAAAAATAATTCTGCTGTGAAGATGAAAATAAAAAAGGAGTGAAAACACTGGAAAACTATTTTCCCTCCTATTTATTTCCCTTGTTGACTGCCAACTTAGAGTGCCAAGAAGAGGTGTGATGACAACTATGGAGGCCCCAGATCTCTCTCTCTGTAGGCTTCTGTAAGGGCATGGAAGCAGTAGAGGAATCTCCCACTTTCTTGGCAGGGACCCTATTTAAAGAGACATAAAGAGCACAGAGATTCCTGGTACCCCTGTTGAGACTGCCAAGTGGGGATTGCAGAAAATCCCTGCCTTCCCCAGGGGACTGCCCTAGTTTCTCTTTTTACTGGCTCCATAGGGTGGCTGTCATTTGGATAAAAGATGCTCAGAAATGGCTACTGAGACTCATAGAGGGCTGGTTACATTTTCAATGTGTGTCATGCTAATAGGGTGGGCCAATGGGAGGGAAGTCCTGAAATAAGGAAAGAAAACAGTGGAGAAACTTATGTTTTCTTACTTTCCTCTCTACCTGCCTAGCAGAGGGACTGAGTCTTACTGTCTTGGTGTTACTGTCAGACTAAATGAACAGGCATGAAAGGTCAAGACTGGGGAGGATGAAGGCTCAGAAGAAAGCTCAGCCTCTCCCCCAACTGCCCATCTCTGGGCCCCTCTGCTGATATCTGGATGCTATTGGTAGGAAGAAAGAAGGATGGGAGTAGACAGATGGAGGGAACGACTGGAATACCATTTAGGAAAGAATGGTCATCCCAGGTTGTTGGAGCGGCTACATTTGTATCCACTGTGTGGCTCTGACATTAATATTCTCTCTTCTCCATCTCCAAAATGTATTTATTTTGTGAAAGGGGTGTTCATAAATTAGAAATTCTATGCAATCAGTCCTCAATGGTGAGACTTTCAGAAAGGAGGGAGGAAATGATATGTGTAATTTGTCTTAATAAAATCTGTTTCTACATCTGTCTCTCTTTTGTGTCCCTTTCATGCTGTGACTATAAGAGAGGGTGCTAGAAATGGTGAGAGAGACGGGTACTCAGATCCTGCCTACCAACCAGTCAGTAATGCAAAGACCTTTTGAGGCAGACATGCACAGGTTAAAATTTCAGCTGCTGCTTTTCATCCAAACTCTAGCAAGCTACTGGGTCGTCGGAAAGTCATAATGTAGTTTTTATTTGAAAAAACACTTCATGATTTTCCCAACGGCCCAATACTTAACCACTGAGTCTTAGTTTCCTTACCTGTAAATCAGGCTTAGTAATATCTACTTCATAACGGCTATTAAATGAGATTGTTTATAAAGAGTTCATGGCACAGCCTGGTAGCAAACTGCACTGCAGTGCTGGAAGCCACATGGCTGACCATGGGTTTGGATCCCTGGGTCAGCTTGAAAACACATGTGCTTGCAGCTGGGATCCTAAAGAGCTGGGGAAAGGAACTGTGGCATGACGAGACCCTTCAGGGCTGTTTCACTCTCTATTTCTCTCTTATGTGTAAACATGCATTATCTATCATGAATAAAACAAACTCGAAACAGTTCAGCAGAGTGCTTCAGACATAACAAGCTGTCATTTAAGTGGTATTGTTGTTGTTACTATCTTTATTATTTTTGCTATTATTTTGAATATGTAGTATTTGAAAACCTGAGAAATTGAGGGATGATTCCCGAGCTTCCTTTCATGAAGTTCTGTCTCTCTGTCTCTCCAGCAAGTGCATACAGCCTACAGCAAAAATATCTCCCCCTCCCAAAAAAAAAAAAAAGAGTAGCTGAGGCTTTAGCAAAGTGGAGATTCCAAGGATAATGCTGTGAACTAAATAGATCTTAGTACCCCCATTTTACAGACATGGAAACTGAAGTCCAAGAAGATTCCTTGATGACCAGCGGATGGCATAATGATTAAGTTGCCAGACTCTCATGTAGTTGACTGCAGTTCAAGTCCCGAACTTGGCAACTTAAACTCACGCCAGGTGTGTGTGTATATGTGCCCAAAATCTTGAGAAGAGAATTGAGGAGAAGGGATTTCGGCATGGCTATCCCCTCTTCGGGGAGGGGTGATATCTCACTTTCTGTCTCTGCCTCTTTGGTGAGTGCATGTGCCCTAGAGTAAAATTCTCCCTCTAAAAAGTATAAATAAATAAAATGAATAAATAAGAAGATACCCTGACAGTGGGGCAGCTCCTCACTGACTTCTGTAATTGAGATCCATCTCTTTGGGAAAGGAGAAGAATTCTTGCCCTACACAAAAGTTCAAGAGACCACCCAGTCCTTCACCAACAAATGGATGCCATTTCTGAGAGACAGAAACAAAAGTTAGGAAAAACAAAGTGTTACCTTAACTACCAAGCAAATTTTTGTTGTTGTTATTGTTGTTTTTTTTTTCTATTCTTTTCTTTTTTTTAAGGTCTTTGCCACATGGCGGGTGTACTCACCAGAGAGAGACAGTGAAAGGGAAAGTGAGACATCACCTCCTGGGGAGGATGATCAAGCCCCTCTCCTGCTGGGTTTTTGGGCACGTACACACATGCGCCCATGTGAATTTCAAGTTGCCAGGTCCAGGACTCCAACCATGGTTGGCCATGTAGGAATCCACAACTACCATGCCACCTGCTGGTCCCTCTGGCAGTTTTATTTATCAGGGCAGTAAAGCTCTTTTAAAGGGGTCTTGCAAGGCTTGACCCATGGTATAATGGTTAAGGGAGCTGGATTCCACATGGCCAACCATGGTTTGAATCCTTGCTTTGTGACTTGAAAAATACTCCAGGCCTATGTACATGTGTGCCCCAAATCCCAACAGTACAGAGAAATGTAGAAGAGATTGTGGCATGACCACACCCCACTGGAGAGGAGGGTGCTTTCTATCTCTTTCTGGCAAGTACACCTGCCATCTGGTGGTTTTGCAAAGAGATCATAGAACACATCTTATGATACTGTTTTAAAGCTCAAGAGTAGACCTTGAGAACAGTGTAGAAGAGTAGTCCTTGGGAACAGCAGATGGTATAATGGTTATGTCACTGGACTTCCATGTACTTGACCATGGTTCAAATCCCAGATCCAGTGGCTTAAAACTCATGCTGGGCATATTTGTGTGCATACCCAAGATCCCAAGAGGAGAATGAAAGAGATGGGATTGTGATGTGGCCATCCCCTCCCCCCCTGTGGGTGTGATTTCTCACTTTTCTCTCTCTGTCTCAATGGCAAATGCAGGAGCTCTATGGCAAAAAATCTCTGTCTTAAAAAAGAAAAGAAAGAGAGAAAAAGAGTAGACCTGTCCAAGAAGAGTTCTTGGCCAGGGTTCCTCAGTATTCCCACTGGAAAAAGCATCTGGGACCCATTTTTCCCCCTAGAAAACAAACAGTCCATCTCATAGTTTTAGAAACACACTATTAACATTGAACAGTTTATACTACATCCAGGCTGCAATAGCCAGGAGGCTTATTTTACAGTGAGATTTCAACTTTATGGATCTATACTCTCATTTGCTCTTCTATTCCCCTGCCCTCTAGAGGTTCATCACTGAAGAGCACAAGCTGGTTGATAATACAGTGGGGACACCCAGGCTGTCACCCCCCTCAGGCCCTTTCCTGAATGTCCTTCCTCCAGTGCCAGATAAGACCAGAATTGCTACCTCTAGTATTTTTATTTCAATGTCTACAATGTGTAAGTGGTTAAATGCTAATAACACCCCTATGAAGAATCATAGTACAAATGAGTTCCAGATTTTTCCCTAATAGCAAATTTTGATAGCAGAGAGAACAGCCAAAGAACAAGGGCACTAGGCACCTTGCAGGTGTCTGGGAGGATTGCTTTCATGATGTGGAAATGAGGAAAGCAGTGAGGCTGGAGGGGCTGCCAAAGAGAAGTCTTAGTGTCTTTCCCATGTTTGAGTCCTCAGTTAATCCTGAAAGTCCTGCCATCAGTTTATGTATTGGCCTTGACAATGAACAGAATTTTCTCATGATAGATGCATGATATTAATAAAATAGGCTTGGTGGTTTTTCCTTGTTAGTAACCTGATGGCCATCAGAGATGGGTAGAGCCTATAATTGTTAACATTATTTCAACTGGAAAAGAGAAAATCTTTCATTCAACGGGACCAGCAGATAGCATAATGATTATGTCACTGGTTGATTGCAGTTCGAGTCTGGACCCAGTGGCTTAAAACTCATGCCACGTGCGTGTGCGTGCATGCCCAAAATTCAGAGAGAAGAATGGTGGAGAAAGGATTGCAGCCATCCCCTCGGGGGAGGGGGGGTGAGGAGACGGGGAGGTGTGGTTTCTCATTTTCTGTCTGTCTCTCTGGTAAGCGCATGTGCCCTACAGCAAAAATCTCTCTAAAAAAAACAACAACAACAAAAAAAAAACTTTCATTCAACAAATATTACTTGAACAGATATCTTTCTAATATTTTTCTGAATTATTTAATTTTATTGGTCATTATACTTCCCCTTAATTTGCTATAGGGCGTGTATGCCTACCAGAGACAGAGAGAGAGGGAAAGTGAGAAAGCAAGCTGCCAGATCCAGGATTCAAATCACAGTCAGCAATGTGGGAATCCACCACACCACCTTCTGGCCTCGCGAACAGAATGAAGCATTATGTTAGACTTTGGGAAGACGACTTTAGAGGGGCTCGCAGGTGGTGTGGTGGTTAGGGGTGCTTGACTCCCACCCCCACATGGCCGACCGTGGTTTGAGTCCCAGACCTGGAGGCTTGCTTTGTCATTTTCCCTCTCTCTCTCAGTCCCT